CGGCCTCCCGGAGTTAGCTGCGACTTACAGGGCGCCCGTGCCACCACACCGGCTAATTTTTTTGTATTTTTTTTAGTAGAGACGGGGTTTCACCGTGTTAACCAGGATGGTCTCGATCTCCTGACCTCGTGATCCGCCCGTTCTCGGCCTCCCAAAGTGCTGGGATTACACCTGAAGCACCGGCACCTGGGCCGGCACGCAGGAGTTTAAAGAAAAAAAAAAGGAAAAAAGATTTGGACTACTGGCAATTTTAATATGATTAAGTATACCCATTTTATGTAAGAGACTAAAGGCACATGTCAGTTTGGGCTCATGCCGTAATCCCAGCACTTAGGAGGCTGGACACTCCGCAGATTGCTTGGACCTCAGGGATTCAAGACCAAGCCTGGGCAACAATGTGAAACACCCATCTATACCTAAAACCAGTACAAAAATTTCAGGCGTGTGCGACGTCGTGGTCTCAAGCTACTTAAGAGGTTGAGATGTGAGGGATGCGCTTGAGCTTGGGGAGAAGACGGAGGCCTGGCAGTAAGCCGAGATCAACACCACTCGACCGATTCCAGCCCTGGTGATTTCAGAGTGAGACTTCCATTTCAAAAAAAAAAGAGTCATTAATGTCTACAACGTACTTTCAAATGGGCTCATAAACAGAAGGCAGGGCAGGGTGCATGGCTGTTATATCCCAGCACTTCGGGAGCTGAGGCGGGTTGGATCATGGGTCAGGAGAATCGAGACCCATCATGGTTTAACACGGTGAAAACCCCTGCTCTCTAAAACCTACAAAAACTTAGCCGGGTGTCGGTGGCGGGCACCTGGATAGTCCAGGCTACTTGGGGGGAGGCTGAGGCAGAGAATGAGCGGTGAACTGGAGGGTGGAGCTTGCAGTTGAGGCTTGAGATCGCGCCATGCACCACTGCACTCCGCCCCCACAAAAAAAAAGCCTTGGTGGAACCAGAACGAGGATTTCTCTTTCTCAAATAAAAAAATAAAAAATGACAGCAACAAAGAAGGCAAAAATGTTAACAATTGGAGATAGGAGGTGTTATTAGTTTTGGCTGGGATGGCAGGTGGCTCACGGCTGTAAATTCACAAAACTTTGGAAGGCCGAGGTGGGGGGATCACGAGGGTCAGAGTTCGGAAAGACCAGCGATGGCCAGCATGTTGAAAACCCGTTCTCTTATGGAAATTTACAAAAAATTTAGCAGGGCATGGTGGTGTTACTGGCCTACAGTCCCAGTTGCTTGGGGATGGGTTGAGGGCAGAGCCATGGCTTGAACTACAGGCAGAGGTTTGCAGGGTGAGGCTGGAGATGAACCCAATGCACCTGGCAACCTGGGGGTGACGTGACAGGAGCTGAGAATCCGTCTCAAAAAAAAAATAAAGTTATTTGTTTTGCACATTGTTCTTAATTTTCTTTTTTTGTGGATTTGAAAAAAACATTCCAGAATAAAAAGTTAGAAACAGTGTTTTCATAATTTGTCTGCCTTCTAGAATTTTTCCCTTGTACTGAAGAATAACAACAAAACAGGCCGGGGCGCGGGTGGCTCAGCCTAGTAATTTCCTCCCAGCATTTTGGGAGGCGGAATGGGACGGGCGGATCACAAAGTCAGAGGATTCAGTAGGACATCCTGGGACTGGACACGGTGGAAACCCCGTCTTTACTAAAAAAATACAAAAAACTAGCGGGCGATCTCAAAAAAAAAAAAAAAAAGCTCTTGCCTGTAATCTCCACACTTTGGGAGGTGTGGTGGGTGGATTACCTGAGGTCAGGAGTTAGAGACCAGCCTGGCCAACATGGCGAAACCCAATCTCTACTAAAAACAGAAAAATCAGGCTGGGCGCGGTGGCTCACGCCTGTAATCCCAGCACTTTGGGAGGGCGAGGAGGGTAGATCACGAGGTCAGGAGATCGAGACCAGCCTGGCCAACATGGCGAAACCCTGCTTCTACTAAAAATACAAAATTAGCTGGGCGTGGTGGTGCATGTCTGTAATCCCAGCTACGCAGGAGGCTGAGGCTGGAAAATCGCTTGAAAGCACAAGGCAGAAGTTGCGGTGAGCCGAGATAGCGCCACTGCACTCCAGCCTGGGCAACAAGAGTGAAACTCTGTCTCAAAAAATATATACATATAAAAATTAGCCAGGCGTGGTGGCAAGGACCTGTAATCCCAGCTACTAGGGAGGCTATGGCAGGAGAATCAGTTGAACCCAGGAGGTGGAGGTTGCAGTGAGCCAAGATTGTGCCACTGCACTCCAGCCTGGGTGACAGAGTGAGATCCTGTCTCAAAAAAATAAATAAATAAAATAAAAAGAGTCTCTAACAGTTCCATTCAAAACATAAGAGTGTCATCTCTTCAACATTCCTTATCTTTTAGAGACATTTTGGTTAGGGAATAATATACTTTTAGAATGCTACACACAAATAGTATAATTATGCCTGCTTAATGCTTAATAATAAATTACATGTTACCTAGCAATGTTACCAGCAGCAGAGACAATGGCATTCTGTGACACGGAGGCAACTCTGCTCATTCCTTGTCCGTCTTGTCCCAAATCATACACCTGTGAATACAAATCATTCTCACTTAAACATGATTACATACTATACACATATTAATAAACTTTTCCTTTTAAGGGATCCTTTAATATTGGTATTTAAAACAAACATGAAAACATTCAGATTTGAAATTTCATAGAAAGGGGCCCCTTCTGAGAAGTGAGTTGGGCTTTTTTTTTTTTTAGATGAAATCTTGCTCTGCTGCCCAGGCCGGAGAGCAAAGGCGCGATCTCAGCTCACTGCAACCTCCACCTCCCAGGTTCAAGCGATTCTCCTGTCTCAGCCTCCCAAGTAGCTGGGATTAAAGGGGCATGCCACCACACCCGGCTAATTTTTGTATTGTTAGTAGAGGTGGAGTTTCATCATGTTGGCCAGACTGATCTCAAACTCCTGACCTCAGATGATCCGCCCACCTTGGCCTCCCAAAGTGCTGGGATTACAGGCGTGAGCCACCATGCCTGGGAGGCTTTCTTTTTTTTTTTTTTTTTAAATTATACAGTTCATAGGAAAAGTTTAAGAGGCAGGAACTGTCGGCCTTAAAAATAAGGATTTATATTACTCTTAATGGTATAATATTAATACTAACCTGTATTACTCCTTTCTCAGATCGTGTATATAAAATATTTCTAGAATTATCAATTGCAATTTGAAGAACAGGATCTAAAAGTAAGACAAAAAAAAAAAAAAAAGAGAGAAAAAAGCAAAGCCAAGGATTAACAAAGCAAATACATTAGCCACTTACAACAAACTGTTGAATCAGAACTTTGTATTCAGGGGCTTTCTACTCCCTTGCTTTGAAGTTAAATCCAAGGATGTTTGCACAAGATTCAGTCCAAAAAGCATTTTAGTCAGACAACACATGAAAAAAACATATGCTAAATACTGTGACTGGGTTACAAGCATAGAAAATAAGTTATTTTGTCCTCTAAATGAATTTTAAGCCAAATCGAAAACAAGTTCTAAGTTATTTCTTCATTCAATAATATTTAATGAATGTTTACTACATGCTAAAAATATGTAGAATAATTATACCTGGTCCTTTATGTTAAGAAACTTCCAGTTTGGCCTAACTGATTGTGTGAAAGAAAATAATTTAAAAATTTAGTCATATTAATCTTTGGGCATACTGATCTTATGTTGCCAAAGCATTTTAAAAATTATTTCACCTGTTTGAATCTCTCAGTTCATTAAAAGCTAAGATATATTATTTTTATATTGGAAATTTGTTCTAGACCAAGCAATGTATTAGCTGTCTGAATGTCTCTCTCACACACACACAGATATTTTGGTTTAAGTATGTACAGCTGTTTTAGACACAAGTTCTTTGATGCTACATTTATAGGAAATAAGTAAACTTGAGAATAAAATCCACACTTTCTCTGTTATAATCTCTTCTTACCCTTTAAAAGACCTTATGAATATGTACCAAATGCTACTTAACATAACGAATTGTTTCAATTAAGAATGATAATTTCTGAAGAAAATGTTGAGGGAACAATATGTTAGAAATTAGTTTTACTTGCCAAATTTATTGTTTTCTACTTACCATCTTCTGAGAATGTGAATTGTAGCAAAGAAGGAACAAGGAAAGAAAGTGAGCTCTTTGAGTGGTTTATTTTCCTACATCTTTGGCTAAACCACCCTGCTTCAGCCTTAAAGAAAAAAATAGAAAGAAGACTTATAAAAGTATGTAACTCCCTTACAATAACTACTGTATATCCATATTTATAAAAACCTTCAAATCTTCATGAAATATCAGTTATAATCACTAATACCAGTTACAATCAACAAAACGAGACACATTATTCAAAATTAACTATGGAGTTTAGTCCATAATTTAAAATATCAACCAAATACTGACAAGTAAAGAATTTCAAGACATACTGTTAAATGAAAAGCCACTTATGGGCTGCGTACAGTGGCTCACACCTATAAATCCTAGCACTTTGGGAGGCCAAGGCACAAGGATCATTTGAGGTCAGGAGTTCAAGATCAGTCTAGCCAATATGATGAAACCCTGCCTCTACTAAAAACACAAAAATTAGCTGGATGTGGTGGTGGTGCACGCCTGTAATCCCAGCTATCAGGAGGCTGAGGCAGGAGAACTGCTTGAACCCAGGGGATGGCGGTTGCGGTGAGCCAAGATTGAGCCACTGCATTCCAGCCTGGGTGATAGACCTGGGTGACAGAGTAGACTCCATCACATTAAAAAAAGGAAAAAGAAAAAGAAAAAGAAAGCAATTATGAATTAAATCAATAATCCAAGTGAAAACATATATTTGCAAAAGTACATTAGGTATTTGTGTATGCGTATACACTCCCAAACACATGTGCATAGATATCTATAGAAACACATATAGTGATGTCTGCTTTATGTTCCACAAGGACATACATAGAATTAATAATGACTTTTACCTCTAAGGAGAGGACTGAGTTTTGTAGGCATGGTGTAGTCATGGGGACTACAGCTTCACCTGGATGCTTGAATATTTGTCATAAAAATATATTAATGTCCTTACATAACTAGAAAACAAAATAAAAGCTTACTTTTCCCTACTTCATCAAGAGAGAGAGAAAAAAAACGTTTACAAATATCAGGTTTACCTGGTAGGCTACTTCATATAAACAGCCATCCTTTCCAGCCAAGAAAATTCTGCCATTATCAGTGGAAGTTATTGTTAAAAGGTAAGTATTATCAGTAGGAAGAGAATATAAAGGATCTGGAAGCAACTGCATTCCACCAGACATACTATCATTAAGAACTCCAGAACCTATTTATTTTAAGAAAGAATACATAAATCAGTTTATTAGCTACTCTACAGTTTTTAAAAATCTTTGCATTATTGTCAGAATCGATATGTTTACTCAATTCTTATTGACAACACAGTCAACAGCCTCTATAATATACATTTTAAAATTACTAAGTCTGATACAATTTGATAATTCAAGTGAAACAGAACCTTCTCTCTCTGTGTGTGTGTGTGTGTGTGTGTGTGTGTGTGTGTGTCTGTGTGTTTATTATATAGTAAAACAATAAACAAGAAACTAACCCAGCCGGTGCCGTGGCTCATGCCTGTAATCCCAGCACTTTGGGAGGCCGAGGTGCGTGGATCACCTGAGGTCGGCAGTTTGTGACCAGCCTGACCAACATGAAGACACCGTCTCTACTAAAAATAGTAAATTAGGTTGGACGCAGTGGCTCACGCCTGTAATCCCAGCACACTGGGAGGCCAAAGCAGGCAGATCACGAGGTCAGGAGTTTGAGAACAGCCTGGCCAACACAGTAAAACCCTGTCTCTACTAAAACTACAAAATAATTAGCTGGGTGTGGTAGCAGGCGCCTGTAATCCCAGCTACTTGGGAGGCTGAGGCAGGAGAATCGCTTGAATCTGGGAGGCGGAGGTTGCACTAAGTCAAGATTGCACCACTACACTCTAGCCCAGGTGACAGTGTGAGACTCTGTATCAAAAACAAACAAAATTAGCTGGGTGTGGTGGTGCATGCCTGTAATCCCAGCAACTCAGAAGACTGAGGCAGGAGAATCACTTGAACTCCGGAGGCAGAGGATGTGGTGAGCTGAGATCACACCATTGCACTGCAGCCTGGGCAACAAGAGGGAAAATCTGTCTCAAAAAACAAAACAAAACAAAACAAAACAAAAAAACTAAACCCAACATTAACTTGTGGAAAAGAGCCTGAAGATTTGGCACCAATAATCATTAATTTGAGTCAATGGAATTCAACATTTCACCCAGATTAGCTTTTAATTGTAATATCAATTGGCCAAAATATTATTTTAAAAAACATAACATGTGGGTTGCCATACCTGTTTGCAAATTAGCATAGCTCAGTCCAAGAATTACTATGTCTACAGGGGTCGCCAAAACCAGGAGGTGTCGTACATGAGGTTGAAAGATGCCTAAGATAAAGTAGAGAAAGAGCAGGAAAACTTTCAGCATTTAAGCACTAACAGAGTAAGCTTTTATTATCATTAAAATGAGCTACTAATTAAATATTACTATGTACGATCATTTAAATAAGTAAATTTTGGATGTCATCAAGGTAATGAAGAGGAAAAAAAGTAAACAGCAGTGGAAAAGAACCACCTTAGAAAACAATCACTTCAGTATTTAATGCTGTTTAAAAAGTGTTATATTACAAAATAGTTTAAATGTATTAAAATACAAAGATGTATATTTGTATATCCGTGTTCATAGCAGCATTTTTCACAATAACTAAAAGGTGAAAACAAAATCCAAGTGTCTATTGATAGATGGATTTTTAAAAATGACATATATATACACACACACACACACACATACACAATGGAATACTACTGAACTTTAAAAAGTAAGAAAGTTGGCCGAGCACGGTGGCTCACGCCTGTAATTCCAGCAGTTTGGGAGGCTGAGGCAGGCAGATCACCTGAGGTCAGGAGTTCGAGACCAGCCTGGCCAACATGGTGAAACCCCATCTCTACTAAAAACAAAAAATTAGCCAAGTGTGGTGGCACGTGCCTGTAGTCCCAGCTACTTGAGAGGCTGAGGCAGGAGAATTGCTTGAACCCGGGAGGCAGGGGTTACAGTGAGCCGAGATCATGCCCCTGCAACCCAGCCTAGGCGACAGAGTGAGAGTCCAGCTCAAAAAAAAAAAAAAAGGAAGAAAGTTCTGATGCATGCTATAACACAGATGAACCTTGAGGACATAGGTTAAATCAAATAGGCCAGTCACAAAATGACAAATATAGTACCATATGATTCCATTTATATCAAGAAACCTAGAATAGTCAAATTCTTACAGACAAAAAGTGGAACGGTTACTACCAACTGCTGAGGGAAGGAGGAACAGGAGTTTTTAGTTAATAGGCACAGTTTCCGTTTTATAAGATACATAAGAGTTCTAGATACAGATGGTGGTAAAGGTCACACAATAACGTGAATGGACTTAATACCACTGAAGTGTTGGCTGAAAAACAGTTAGGATGGCAAAGTTTGTATTATGTGTATTTTACCATGATTAAAATATATATTATAGATTTCATTTTGAAATGTAAATAAAACCTAGAAAATTTTAGAAAATAAAACTTAGACCTATAGTTATCTACAAAAGATTACAACCTTGATAACAGTACAGAGCAATATTTACACACTTATGCATCTCTTTTAGATTCTATGTAAAGGAAATACATTTGCTTTGCCTTTTTTTTTTTTTGAGACAGAGTTTCGCTCTTGTTGCCTAGGCTGGAGTGCAGTGGCTCAATGTCGGCTCACTGCAACCTCCGCGTCACAGGTTCAAACGATTCTCCTGCCTCAGCCTCCTGAGTAGCTGGGATTACAGGCATGTGGCACCACACCTCGCTTATTTTGTACTTTTAGTAGAGACAGGGTTTCACCATGTGGTCAGGCTTCTCTTGAACTGCCGACATCAGGTGATCTGCCCCCCTCAGCCTCCCAAAGTGCTGGGATTACAGGAGTGAACAACCGTGCCCGGCCTCTTTTTTTCCTTTTTTTTTTTTTTTGAGACAGGGTCTTGCCCTGCTGCCCAGGCTGGAGTGCAGTGACACAATGAAGGCTTACTGCAGCCTTGTCCTCCTACACTCAAGCGATCCTCCCGCTTCAGCCTCATGAATAGCTGGGACTACAGGCATGCACTACCACGCCTGGCTAATGTTTCTGTTTTTTGTAGAGACAGGGTATCACCATGTTGCCCAGGCTGGTCTTGAAGTCTCAGACTCAAGTGATCTGCTCGCCTCAGCCTCACAAAGTGCTGGGATTACAGGTGTGAGCCACCACACCTGGCCTGAAAATATATTTTCAGTGCAAGTAAATAAATAGTGCATAAAACGTCAGTTTGGGTAGGGCATGGGGGCTCACGCCTGTAATCTTAGCACTTTGAGAGGCAGAGACGGGCAGATCACTTGAGGTCAGGAGTTCGAGACCAGCCTGACCAACATGGTAAAACCGTCTCTACTAAAAACACAAAAATTAGCCAGGCGTGCTTGGTGGGTGCCTGTAATCCCAGCTACTCAGGAGGCTGAGGCAGAAGAATTGCTTGAATCCAGGAGGCTGGGGTTGCGGTGAGCCAAGATGGTGCCATTGCACTCCAGGCTGGGCAACAGAGTGAGACTCTATCTCATAAAAAAAAAAAAAAAAAGTCTGTTTTTACTTCACTGAATATCTATAATTGCAAAATGGACATAATCTTAAAAAATTTTACTTAGGCCTTGAAAAAAGTGATTTTTGTCTATTATTTCCTCCTATAAAAAGGTACATTTGGCTGCGCAGTGGCTCACACCTGTAATCGCAGGACTCCGAGAGGCCAAGGTGGGTGGATCGCTTGAGGCCAGGTGCTTCAGACCAGCCTGGCCAACTTGGCCAAACCACATGCAACTAAAAATACAAAAATGAGCCGGGAATGGTGGCGCATGCCTGTAATTTCGGCTACTCAGGAGCCTTAGGCAGGAGAATCACTTAAACCCAGGAGGCAGAGGTTGCAGTGAGCACTGAGGTGGCTCCCCTGTACTCTAGCCTGGGTGACAGAGTGAGACTCTGTTACAAAACAAACAAGCAAACGCACTCGGGAGGCTGAGGCAGTAGAACTGCTTGAACCCGGGAGATGGAGGTTGCAGTGAGCCAAGACTGCACTACTACACTCCAGCCTACTCGATGGAGCGAGATTCCATCTCAATAAAAAAAAAAAAAGGTGTGTTGTTGTTCAGGTTTATACCATTTGGAGTTTACATATACAAACACAATCTCTTCCTTACAGCTTTATTTCTTACCAGCTTTTGGTTTCACAAGCCCCACAGCAAGAATAGTCTCACTAAGTCCATCAAAATAGGCAAGGTCTCCTCTGTGAACAAATGAAGAAAAACATGTTACACATATAAAGCAAACAGGCCAGATGTGGTGGCTCACGTCTTTAATCCCAGTACTTTGGGAATCTGAGGCAGGAGGATTGCCTGAGCTCAGAAGTTCAAGATCAGCCTGGGCAACACAGTGAGACTCTGTCTCTACAAAAAAGAAACAAAAAATTAGCCAGGCATGGCAGTGTGAGGCCACTGAGGTGGGAGGATCTCATAGGCCTGTGAGGCTGAGGCTGCAGTGAGCAGTGATCATGCCACTGCACTCCAGCCTGGCTGACTAAGTGAGAGCCTCTCTCAAAAAAGAAAAGAAAAACAGAAAACAAAGTGTTATCTTACAGTGCTCTTTATTATTATTATTACTATTATTTTTGAGACAAGGTCCAGCTCTGTCACCAAGGCTGAAGTGAAGTGGCACCATCTTGGCTCACTGCAATCTCCACTTCACACCTGGCTAATTTTTGTATTTTCTGTAGACAAGGTTTGGCCATATTGCCCAGGCTGGTGTTGAACTCCTGAATTCTCTTTATTAGTGAAATAAATTTAGACACAGAATATAATGAAAAGACTGGCCAGGCATGATGGCTCACACCTGTAATCCCAGCACTTTGGGAAGCCAGGGTGGGCATATCACAAGGTCAGGAGATTGAGACCATCCTGGTCAACATGGTGAAACCCCATCTCTACTAAAATACAAAAAAAATTAGCCGGCCATGGTGGCGCACGCTTGTATTCCCAGCTACTCAGGAGGCTGAGGCAGGGGAGTCGCTTGAACCAGAGAGGCGGAGGTTGCAGTCAGCTGAGATCTTGCCACTGCACTCCAGCCTGGGCAACAGAGTGAGACTCAGTCTCCAAAAAAAGCCAATGAAGACCAGGAGCGGTGGCTCACGCTTGCAATCCCAGCACTTTGGGAGGCTGAGGTGGGCAGATCACCTGAGGTCAGAAATTCAAGACCAGCCTGGCCAACCCGTTGAAACTCTGTCTCTACTAAAAATACAAAAATTAGCCAGGTGTGGTGGTGCATGCCTATAATCCCAGCTACTCGCGAGGGTGAAGCAGAAGAATCACTTTAACCCAGGAGGTCGAGGCTGCAGTGAGCCGAGATCATGCCACTGCACTCCAGCCTTGGCAACGGAGATCCTGTCTCTAAAGAGGAAAAAAAAAGGGGGTCCAGGCACAGTGGCTCACACCTGTAATCCCAGCACCTTAAGACTCCGTCCACAAAAAAAAAAAAAAAAAAAAAAGGGAGACAGAGATAGAAATTGGATAATCAATAAACAGAAAGGAACATCCAAAATGAGGTATGTAACAAAAGTATAGCTGAAATCTCAGAAGAGAATGTATCAGAATATTTCAAGATAATGGCTGGGCCAGGTGCAGTGGTGTGCCAGTTGGCCTCCATTCCTAAAATCCCAGCCTTTGGGAAGCCAAAGAGGGCGCAAAATAATACTGGAGGTTCAGAGTTCAAGCCCAGCCCTGGTCAAAAGTGAGAACACCATGCCCGTCTAATAAGCAATACAAAAATTCACCAGGATGGGGCCCCCACCTGTAGTCCGCAGCTAACTCCACGAGCGAGGCAAGAAGTATTTGCAAAACTCAGGAGGCGAAGTGCCGTGAACCAACGAACAGTCCCTGCACTACAGCCCTGGGTGGACCAGGCGTACGGACCTCCCCATGTGGGGAAAAAAAAAAAAAGACCAACGCGAACAGAAAGTAAGAAGAGAAGAGAGAGAAAATAAAGATAATAGCTGAAAATTCTAAAAAATGTAGAAACATCCAAACTAAAGATCTAGAAGCCACTGACCAGAAAAATACCCACCAAAAAAAATATGATCCAGACTTTCAAGAACAAGCTCCAGTCACCCCTGAAAAAGGTCAGCCACACCGGAACAAAATAGCCAAATGCAACTTACTAACCTAAGGATTCCCATCTCCTACATCATGCACCATCCCACCAGGGCCTTTGATAATTGGCACAGCCCTCATTGAATCTACCTGATGCCAATGCTGAGGGCCCCTCCCGAAACAATAGCTGGGGGGTTAGAGAACAATGAATAACCAAGATTATACATTATTCTATCCACTCCAGATGGGAATAAAAGGGAACATTTATATAGAAAGCAATTGAATATTAAGTAAAAATTCCGTACAAAATGAATCTATGGGACCTATACTTTGTGCCTCCATTTTAAATAAGTTCCATTTTTCCAAAATAATTTTTCTTAAATGAAACACACCACTGCTATGGATCCAAGCTAATCGTGTCCTCCCTAAAATGCAGGTTAAATCTCTAACCTCTATAT